GTCATCTAATATGGCTCCCCTGCTTGCTACATCCCTCACCAGAGTGATACATTTGTTACCACTGATGAACCTATGTTGACACATACATCATTGTAACCTGAAGTCCATAGTTTGTTTACATTAGGGTTCGTTCACTCTTGGTGTTGTACATTCTGAGTTTTGACGAATGTGTAATGAATGACATGTGTCTACCATTGTAGTATCATACAAAATAGCTTCACTGCCCTGAAAATCTTCTGTGCTCTGCCTGTTCATCCCTTCTTCCCTCATCCCCTGGCAACCACTGATTTTTTACCATCTCCATAGTTTTGCATTTTTTATAGTGTGTCGTATAGTTGGAATCATACAGTGTGTAGCCTTTTCTGATGGGCTTCTTCTAAGTTTCCTTTATGTCTTTTCGTGGCTTGAGGGCTCATTTCTTTTTGTCTGGATGTACCTCATCTGGTATTTTTTTGATTGACCTTACATATCTGATCCTGTCTTTTGCCCAAAATATAAAGCATAAACTCTTTGTGGACAGAAATGTCATTCTTCACTTCTTTTTATCCCTCAAAATACTAAGATAATGCCATATTCTCAGTGTTTGATAAATATTAGTTTAGTAAGTAACACATGAAATCGTAATAGTACTCTTTTTTTTTTTGGCAGCTGGTCAGTACTGAGATCTGAACCCTTGACTTCCGTATTTTTTGTTGAAGGGCAGACTTTTATGTTGTTTATTTATTTATTTTTCTTAAATAAAATATTTATTTATATATTTTTAAAGAAAATGTAATTTTATTAATATTATTTTGTACATTCTAGGATGTTGTGGAGCAGTTGGCAGGGGAGAGGGGAAAGGGGAAGGAAATGGGATGGAAGAAGGAGGAAGGAGGAGGTGCAGGATTGAGGACTGTGGCACCCCCCTCATTCCCACAGGGGAGACCAGGGGACTTCCAGCAGTGGCTTGGTCACTGCCGGGCTGGGTGCAGATGTTAGGGGGATGCGGCAAAAGCCCTCTCCCCCCACTGTCCCAGCTCGGGAACCCAGGGTGAAGGGCAGACTTTTAGTTGCTTTTACCATCCAGAATTTTTTGATTAGTGAGAAAAAAATTTGAGCATCAAATTCTAGTTATAAAGGCTATATATTTAATTTCTTAGTATAGGGGGAAGCTCCCTTAGTCCTGTTTATATCAAATAAGAAAGTGGCTTAGGAACAGGAGGGTACACAGGCAACATCAGAAACTGGTATAGCTGGAACGTGAATGGGTCTGGGGAAAATTACGTTAAGTAAAATAAGCCAGACAAGGAAAGAGAAATACCACGTGTTCTCACTCGTAACTGGGTACAAGGAAGGAAGGAAGGGAGGGAAAGAGGGATGAAAGAAGGAGAGAACAAACCTAAGGATGCTAGAGGTGGGGGGGAGGCATGGTGGGGTTTTGGGGAGGCATAGATTGGGTAAAGGGCATAAAGAAAAATCACGATTTGTAATAATGAATATGCTTATAATAAATAATGAAAAAAAATTTTAAAAACTGGTAGCTGGGTTCAGAGAGAGAGAGCAGGAGAGCTACACAAAGCAGGATGAAGAAGTATTAAGCTGTGTAATCTTTTAGGGAGATCATCTGATCCAGCTGTTTTCCTTTATTGATAAGAAAAATGGGGACCTTGTTAGCCAATTATGTGATGACCAATGTCAGTCTAAAATGGCGGCAGGTGGACAGGATGAACACCCAAAATGGCTGCGGAAAGTTTCACATTTTCTGAGAACCACAAAAGACACCCTCCCCCCCCCCATCGCCACATCACCTTCTCATGTGTGCAATTTTCCCCACCTATAGGAAAGTCCCAGCTCAGTTTTTTTTTTTTTTTTTTTGTCTTTTGTCTTTTT